CCCCGGCCCCGCGGCCCCCCGAACTCAGGGCGCGCACTGTCGCCCTTCCCGCGGCGAGACCCCGTCCCGTGGCCATGCCCGGGTCCCCCGGCGTGGGTCTGCGCCGCTCCGCAGGCGGGCACGGCGTCGCCGGCCTCCCCTGAGGGCACCGAGGCGGGCACGGCCCCAGCCCTCTGCCTTCCCCGGCGTGCGAAGTTAGGGGAGGAACTTGCTGCTTTGTATTTGCCAGAAGCGGGCTGTGCTGTGAGCAGAACTTGGAAGAGCCGAGACCGCCACTTCCCTTCCGTCTCGTCGTCCCTGAGAGGGAGGAGCGCTGGGGCACAGGACATTCGCGACGAGCGTGGGAGCCGGAGCGATGGGGGGAGAGTGATGACGTCATGCCTTTAGGCCGCCGCGGGTGGGGAGGCCGCGGGAGTGCGGTCCCGGCCCAGCGGGAGTTCGTTCCAGGGGGCTCTTGACACAGCCTGTGCCTCAAGCTGGCTTCCCACGTTCTCGAGGCACGTAGGTTAGTTCGGGAATCGCACTGGTAGCATCAGGAAGAGACCCGCTTGTCTGAGCTCACGTTGGTCTGCAGACCCTTGAGTTGTGGTTGCCAAGTAAGTGGGGAGCTGCTTAGGAGGTCATTGTTAAGAAGTGAGAAGTAATAAAATTGACTTGGATGTTAGGAGGAGTCGGCTGAAGTTTCTTGCCTGTTTTCAGTTGGACATAAAGACAAGCCGTTGTCGAGGGAGAGGTTAATTGCTGCGGGATGAAGGATGTGCATTATTACACCAGCGCTGTGGTCCAGCCGCCTGCGGTCCCCGTGGGCGGCTCCTGTTTCCTTCTGTGGACACGGCCTGCTACTGTCGGAAAGCTAGGGGTCTGTGTTGCTTGTGCGTGGAGACCATGCCTTCCCGCAGGACCCAAGTACTTTCCCCCCCAAAGTCTCCGTGAGGCCTTCCCCCTCGGGGCATTGCATTTCCACCAGGATGTGCACATGGTGGCATTTAATGAGGACAGTTTTCAAGGGGCAGCCCCTTTAAGGAGCTTCCTCTCATTTTTAGTAGTGTTATTTTACTCGTTATGTTTCTGACGTGATCCTTGCTGTGTCCTGAGAGTTTAATTAGCAAATGAGGATTCCAGGAGTAATGTTGACTTATCTGTTAGGATAAAATTTTAGAAAAAAATTAATTTTTATTTTAATAGGTGAAAAACCTTCTTGGATGCATAGAGAAAAACTTTTTTTTGAAGATTTTATTTATTTATTTGAGAGAGAGATATGGTGAGAGAGAGCACAAACGGGGGAGTGGCAGGCAGAGAGACAGAGGGAGAGGTAGGCTCCCCACTGAGCAGGGAGCCCGATGTGGGGCTTGATCCCAGAACCCTGGGATCATGACCTGAGCTGAAGGCAGATGCTTAACCGACTGTGCCACCCAGGCGCCCAAGAATAAAACATTTTTTAAAAACAATTTGACTTATTTCTACGGCAAGTAATTTATAATCATAATTCATTGCAGACTTTTCTTGTAGTGCTTCTCCAGGAGGTAGATGTCATGCAGGTTCACACATTGCCTGGATCCTGTGTAACAGGAGGCGCTAAGCAGGGCTCTGGTAGGAAGAGAGACCTTACTGCTGTCACTGTCTGTGGGCTTGTTCAAACACTGGGTCAGTCAAAATCCGCCATCTGTTTCTTATGCTGATTTGACGAACCTGAATTTGCTTATCTTCAAAATATGGGTACAAAGAGGTTTCTTTCTAAAGCTGCCTTGACAAAAGTAGGTAGATGTTGTTTTATTACTTTATTTTAAGGTATTGTGTGATTGACTTATTTTAAAAGTGTAATCTATTATTTTCGTGTAAGTAGTGCACTCACATGATGCAAACTCTAAAATTACAAAAAGGTAATAATTAAAATGTCTCTCTCCCACTCCTTTTTCCTGAGTACCTCTATTCCCAGAGGCAAGCTCTATTATACTTTTCCTTGTGTATCCTTACAGATATAAACCATGCACATATGAAGATAGATTTTAAGTTATTTAAAACAGAAGTATTTCAGAATAGTAACTTCTAAAGTTTCTTAGCACGCTCTGAAATCAACTACATTGGCCTAATTGTAGTTATTTTAAATAAAATGCATAAATATCATATTTGTTGGAACTTTGCTGTTGAGAAAGCAGGTATTCATTAATTTTGAGTAACAAACTCTGCTTACAAGTTTGGATCTTGGCATTTCTGTTCAGGCGCTTCAGCTGAAAAATCCATTCGCCAAAGTAGGATTGTCCAAAAACAATTTAGAAAGGATCTGTTCTATTTTTAGGGTCCTCCTCTGTTGGGGGGCGTTGCAGTGTCTCAGCCACGCATGGGCTTCAGTTGAAGTAGCTGAGTGCCTGCTCGGTGCTCAGCACGTAGGATGCAGGGGTGCTGGGCTGGACCGGCTCCAGTCTCAGCAGGGCTGGCATGCAGGGGGATGCCGGAGCGGGGGACAGTCCTAACTGTAATTATGGGGCCGTGACATTTGCGTTTGGTACTTTCTTACTGTCCATCAGATTCCCATGTGGTTTCCCCCGACTTTAATTCTTCATTCATCGGTAAATATTTACTGAACATCTAATGTATGCCTCTGTGGTAATAGCTGCAGGGCTGCAGCAGTCAACAGTTAAAGCTCCGCCCTCGTGAAGTTTTCATTTCAGTGAGGGACATAGACAATAAACCAGATGGATAAGCAAAATACAGAGTATGGTAGAGAGTGATAAATGAAGGAGGAATAGCAAAGCAGGGGAAGGAACTAGGAAATGTCAGCGTTGACAAGGTGTTGACATCTTAGATAGGGTGTCCAGGGAAGGGCTGTTGAGATTGTGGCTTTTGAGTAAATACCTGGAGAGGCTCAGAGATAGAGCTGTGAAGGTGTATGGAGGAGGGGCATTCCAGGCAGGGGAAGAGGTCCAAAGGCCCCCTGTTTGAGGAATACCAAGGAGGTCGGTTTGGTTGGTTGAACTAGTGAGAGGGAGACTCTTAGTAGGGGGTGGGCTCGGAGAGGGACTGAGCGCCACAGCAGATGAGTCGGCCCTCCCTTGTAGGTGGATTAAAGACATGGGCATTTATTCTAGGTGCGGTGGGAAGTCATTGCAGGGTTTGGTGGGAGGAGTGGCAGGATTTGAGTTCCATTTTACAGTGAATGGTGGTTGAGAACGGAGTGAAGGGGAGCAGAGGCGGAAGCAGGAAGCCAGTTAGAAGCTGTTAAAGTGGTCCGGTGAGAGATGGGGGTGGATGCTGTCATGATGCTACAGGGGCAAGGTGAAAGTGACTGAAGGTAGAACCGACAGGACTTGTTCCTCTCTGCCGGGTGTGAGGTGATTTAGCTGAGGTTGGTGTTCTCAGTCAGGATATATTCAGCTGCAAATAATGGGAAACCCTGCTGCAGTAGCTCAAACAGGTGAGAGTTCATTCTAAGACAGCGTGAGTCCGTGTGAGGAGGCTGAACAACGAGATGAGGGACCTGGCCCCTTCCTTTCTAACTTCCTTTCTTCTCTTTCCCTTCCCTCCTCCCCCCTTCCTCTCCTTCCCTACACCCAACCGTGGGGCTCAAACTCAGGACCCCAAGATAAAGAGTCACTCACTCTACTGACTGAGCCACCCAGGTGCCCCGGTCTTTCTTATACTTAGTTTGTAAGCCCTTGTCCTCATTGTTTCCCATTTTTTAAAGTTGAGTTATTTGTTTTTTTATTGTGGAATTGAAACAATTTTTTATGTATTCTGGACTAGACCCTTATCAGATACATGATTTTTAAAACATTCTTCCTTTCTGTGGATTGTCTCTTCGTTTTCTTGGTAGTGTCCTTTGAAAGCACAAAAGTTTTCAATTTTGATGAAGTCCAGTTTTCTACTTTGTCTTTGGTTGCTGTGCTTTTA